GTAACTTGCGAAAAAGAAAGCAATTAATATGAGACAGTTTTCTGTTCCGAGGCAACAGAATTATAATGTGTAATATTATAATCATGTTAAGCTAAAGTTACAAAACATGTAGGGAAAAAAGATAGATGATGTATAAAGTGCACCTGTGTCAAATACAAAATCATCCACTTTTTGCATCTTAAATTGCAATAATAGGAGCATAAATTTTCTGACTTTTCATTCACATCAGTCGTGTTGATTGTTCGACTATTTTTGTTGTTGTAACCCTGCAGCGACGTTGTAATATAAGATCTAAACAGTCATCATTTTCACCTTTGAGTATCAGATTGTGGGCTATATTCTGCACGACAACTTGATGCTTTTATTTTTTACTCCATAGGGTAACAATGTTGTGTTACCTTACAATGTCAAGTATCATTCTTGCCATTGAATATGAAGACTGGAAAGCGATGAAATACAAGCTTTTCACAGGTATGTCTCATAAACTAGTCTTCTAATGACAAAATTACAGCAGAATTACCAAAACTTATATGTAAATAACTTTGAATCACAGTGTGCACGCGCATATTTAGTTTCCATATCTCTGATGGGATTGCTAGAATCCCTCTTCCACATCACACAATATCATGACATTATTGAGCAAAACAATAACTTTGATTCTCATTAAGGACCTTTCGATTATTAGTTGCCTTTTCTGTTTGTAGTTTATCTTCGATAAGTTTTTATTAACAATAAATAATATTCTTCTTAAAGAATAACAATGAAGAAATCAAACATTATGTCCGCCCTAGTTTATTTTACACATGCAGCAGAAGCATCTGATCGTTTAATTGTTCAAAGCTGTAGAATTAAGTAGTAGATTATAATGTAGTCCCCATCCAAATAGAAATAAACTCGAATATTTTAACACTGGTTGAAAAATAGGACATGTTCAAAAATGAGAGAATATGGAGCATTTTTCTTCTGCTAGACAAATACTGATTTATGTTCTGCCTTTTATTTGTACTTCCTTGTCCTACGTAAACTTCAGTGGATATATATGTTTTCTTTTATCTATCTTCCACTAGTCAAGAACATATTTGTGTGCATTTCATTTATCTATGGTTCCTTGTCTAGATTGTGAAAATTTCGGGACATGTGTAATATTAAACAACAATATTCGCTTATTGGGATAAAAAAAAAGTATTAAATTTTTGTACAGCATGAGATGGAGATGAAAAAATTTTGAATGTATTTCATTTTTTTTTTTAAAATTTCCTTCCTTAACATATTGATTATTGAGCACATGTTACAATCCTAAGACTTTTAAGGATGAGTTGCTTTATTTAGAACGTACATGACTCAGAGATAAAACTATAAGACACGGATTTAAAGACATGATGTCACAATAAACAAAAAGAAAACCAAAAGAAAAATTCTATGAATTTATTAAGTCCAGAAAGATTATGGGGGTTTATCTGATTTTTAAGGTTTATTCTTACAAGGTCTGTTTTCCTATCAGTTTGAAATCTCAAGCTTCAGCTGTGTTTATATTTAAGTTTATATTTTATAATAGAATTCAATATATCAGTATTTTTAGCAAAAGAAGTACATACTATTGAAAAAAATTTAGATACAACTTATTTTCGCGAAATAGGTATTTCTTATGTATAAGTGAGACAATTTTTTTGCGAATTCTGGTTATTGCTGTACATGTATATATTCTAACCTAATATAAATACATATATATTTGGTTATTATGAATAATTACATAATGTTTATCAACATTGATGTAATGAATGTTATTCACGTTTTGTGATAGCAACATTTATTTTAGGACAACAGATTGCTGACTGATATCATTCCGGATTCTAAAATATGTCGTGAACGCAAGCTGTCAAATACTGCTAATCCACCTAGATATCAACACAATCGCATAATCATTTATATTGTTCTTCATCTGTTTAAAAGAATATCAAAGTTTTCTGTTATCCCAGAACAACCTCCATGAACAGCATTCTCAGATTCAGACCAAATGTAAACAATAATCTTGTTGTATCTTCACTATGCTAATCAATGTTTGAAACATCTGTTTCGCACTGAAAATTAAAGGAGAAAAAAAAAACCAAATTGGCTAAAATGAAAAAAAAAAGATGAAGATAACGAACAGTAATGGATTTCAAAAAATCCACAAACAATACAATTCTGTGAACAGGATACAAAAACGGACCCCCAAAAATACCTGAGGTGGGATCAGGTGCCTAGGAGGTGTAGGCATCCCCTGTTGACCGATCACAACAGAGCCCTATGTATTGATCAAGTTAGACGGAAGATTAATAAGTCAAATTTAGTATTAAACAAAGGCCTAACAATTGGTATGAAACAAGTCAGCCAAAATACTACCCAGTGATAGGTTATATTTGCTGACAAGGTTAATATAATGACAACAGGATTTACGAAATGCTGACTTTGAACGAGGTTGTTGAAATCCTTGTTACATCAACTTATATGTGAGTAGTCTGCCTCGCTTAAAAAATTGATGGTTCTCAGCGCATGCTCTTGAATATCGAATAAGTTAACTTTGGGAGACATAAGATTCGCATTCATTTTGGCAAGATCTGTAATATTTCCCTATTATTCTAGAAACAAATCTGCTGTTAGGTAGAACATTTAATTGATCTTATTCCATCATTGAATAAAATCATCTTAGATCTTGTCCTTGTAAACCATACCTTTTTATGAATTTGATATTATTATATCTCCTTAGGTGTTCTCTTAGTTCTTAATTGTTTTGTTTCCTTGTTCTTTTATCATTTATTGTGTCTAAATCCTTTTTGACACACTGAATGACCTATATCCAAACAAGAGGCCAATGGGCAACAACACTCAGCTAAGTCACTATGGCTCTTCTGTTCTGCATCAGTAGATTTTCCCCCTATAAGTTCCTATGTAAAATTGCCATCACATATTATGGCCTCATCCTATCCCTTTCCCTCCCCAAGGGGTCATCAAGATTTGAACAAATTTAAATCTACATTACTTGGGTATGCGTCCATATTAATAGGACTAATCATGCCTCTGCTGTTCTTAAGAAGAAGATTTTTAAAGATATTCCTATGTAAAATTTGATCGCCCATGTGGTCCTACCTAACACCATCTGGGTAGATTTGAAGAAAATTCTATCTTTACTACCTGAGGATGCTTCCAAAAACATGACTAATCATGACTTTGCTTTTCGTGAAAAGAATTTGAATTTTTCTTTTTAAAAAAATATTCCTTTATATCCTTATGTAAACTTTGATCGCTTATTTTGAAATAAAAATTTGATCGCCCATAGTGGCCTTACCCAATTAACCATTTTGAATCTAAACTACCGGAGGATGCTTCCATATAAATATGACTGATAATGACTTTGCTGCTCTTAGGAAGAACTATTATATAAATTTTTTCCCTATATATTCCCATCTAAAACTTTGATTGGCCAAGGTGACCCCACCCTACCCTGGGAGTCATGATTTAAACAAACTGAAATCTACACCACAAGAGGATGCTTCCAAATCAATATGGCTAATCATGACTTTGCTGTTCTTAAGAAGAATTTTTAAGAATTTTCCTTTGTATTCCCATGTCAAAATGTGATCATCATAGTGGCCCCGCCCTTTAATCAGAGGTCATGATTTGAACAAACTAGAATATACCCTTTATCAGGAAGTTTATCTTCACATGAAAATTTTACTCCCTATTGAACTTCAATCCTATCAGTATGGGTCAATTTTTTTTAAATTTATTTTACAAATTTAAACCCGAATCACTTGAGGATGTTTGCATGTGAAGATGACTAAATATACCATTTATGTACTTGAAATTTTTGATTATTATTTTTTATTTATTTATATGTACATATGAATACCTGATCCCTTACTGTGACACTACGTTCCTGAAGACACTGATTAAAACAAACTTAAATTTGCAGTGAGGATTTTAAAAATGAATGCTATTGACCATTGCCCTGCTGGTCTGAAAGGATTTAAAATAAATGCCAAATTTTGATCCCCTTTATTGGCACCATCCTAACTAGCTGGCGGTAACAGTTTGAACAGACTTGAATCTGCTATACTTCGAGGATGCTTGCAAACAAATAAGTCTAAACATGGTCCAACTGCTTGATACAAATATAAAAAACTTTCGATTTAAACTATAATCGCATGTTTTGCCCGGGAGCCAATGATTTGCACACGTTTGAGTCTACACTCATTAAGGAGGCTTGCAAATATCATTTTCTTGCCCTGGAATTCTTGAAAAGGCTATTTTAATAGCATCTTCCTATTTTTTGCCTGTGTTTATATCCTCCATTGAATCTGTTTATCTAAGGATGTTCTATGTCAAGTGGGTGCAGTATTAATTGCACTAGTAGATTTGAAGAGGAAAATGAAAATGTGAAAAAAAAAATGTGACAACGACTTACTTGTTTTTTTGTTTGTATGTTGTTTAACGTCCCTCTCGAGAATTTTTCACTCATATGGAGACGCCACCACTTACCGGTGGAGAGCTGCAAATTTTGTCCTATACTCGGCACTTACGGCCATTGAGCATTGAGGGATCTTTTTCGTGCCAGCACCTACTGTGACACGGGACCTCGGTTTATACGGTCTAATCCGAAGGACCGGTCTCCACGTCCCACAGGGGGATTCGAACACGCGATGTAAGGATCAACTCCTTTCATCGCGACTCTAGAGCAGAAGCTCTAACCGCTGCGCCACGCGGGCGAAAACGACTTACATGCCAACAGATAAGGGGACACAATCAGAGAAAAGATCACTTTAGCATTTGGCTCAGGTGAGTTAATGATAAACACTTCCTGATACTAAATTTCCGTGCCTTGAACGTCATGCAATTTTAAAACCACCCGATCAGGTTTAATATCGTGTCATAGCTTTGCTGTTGCATTATCAGAATATCACATTTACAGTTATTGGAGCATGCACACATGAAAAATCCCGGGAAGATTGTTCTATTAGTTAGATGGTTTATGCAATAAACCAAAAATGAAAGTTCTCTATTACTATTTGAAATGTTTTTGCATTGTTGGATATGTTAATGCTGTTTGCCAGACTAATAGAATTGAGATAGATGGAAATGGTTATAAGGGAATTACTGTAGCAGTGTCCAGTAAGCTGGACTCATCTGAAATCCAAATACAAAGATTAAAGGTGAGATATTATATTCATGTTAATTGCTCCAAATATAAGTCAGTGACAAGAGGGCCCAGAAATAATCTCCCTCGAAAAAAAAAATATAGAGATAATGATACACGAAGAGCTAATTTGTTTCAAACTTTGTTTCCTTTATATTTATTGTGAACCATGCAACATTTTGTGGAATCAATGTAAGCTTTCCTGTAAACCGAGCCGCGTTATCATAATCCTCGAAAACTGTTTCGTGGAGAACGTAAATAGAGTTCAATATAAAATAAAATATTATGAAACTAAAAAAAGTAATATAACATATATCTACGAGGGTTGTTCGTAAAGTTCGTGGACTACCCTCATAACTTTTTTACTGAACGTCATATTATATCCAAATTTGGAAGAATTATTTCAAGAGTAAATTCAAATGACGTGTATCAAAAGTTTTTAAAATATCGTGGTTTATTTCAAACTTATTTAGACTTTAAAAAATGCATAAATCGGATCGCGGAACAGGTCAAAATTTTGTAATTTACAATCAAGACACTAAATAATGTTTGAAGTCATACCTTCTGTAAAATTTCACAAAAACGGAAAAAATTCTATACGCTCAAATTAAGAACTGTTTCGTCGTTTCTGTTTCCAAATTATGACTTAATATTTTGCTTCGTTGAAAGGAAATCTGTTTCAGAAGATAGGTAATCTCATTGAAAAAGCCAAAAAGATGAACGACACGGAGCAGCAGTTAATCATACAATTTTGTGTTGTACTCTGGAAAACTCCAGAAAAAAACTCTGAAAATGCCGGAGAAAATAGTAAACATGTTAAAATCGAGCCATGCATTTGTGTGTACATAGTACACGCGGTATTTGAATGATAGACTACTCTGCTTAGACGATGGTGATCTGTGAAAAAACAGATTATCTGTAAAAATATTATCAAAAACATTGAAAAGTTAGTAACGTCATGATAAGACTTTGGCGCTTCACAGATGCTGATCTTGTGAAAGCAAACTTATGCAGTGAATAAAATATAGCATTGACATACAAAATAATGCTAATGGATCAATTGTTAGCAAATGGATTTCAAGTGATAATGAAACTTTTTTAATGAGTGCACTGGTATTGGCAATACTGTGTGAAATGCATAGTGATAGTATTTTTGAGAACCTCATGTTGGTATGTTTTTGACGTTACAGTGTAGTTGAGTTTGCTCCTTGGTTACAAAACGTATTGATTTTAAAATTAAATAACATGAATTCTGTTAAATCAGATGGATGAAAGTTCACACTTAAACAAAATAAATATTTTTACATATGATAATGTGCTCATTTTAAATTCCTTGAAGATAGTATAACGAAGATTGGCATATTCCACAAACTTTCCGAACAACCCTCGTAACTAGCTGTCTTCTTCGTATTACGCAAGCGCATGTTTTAAAAAAGCATTTTCCCCAATTTCAATGCTTCTATAAACATACTAAATATGCTGAGGGACTCTATACATTCAACTACATGTTGATGTAAGAAGATTGGATCTTTGAGAGTTTTTATACACTGGGACTGCCCGATTGATATTTTATATATTCTATCATCCAATAAAATGAATACATGTACTATGCTGAACATAATGGAAAAAACCCTAGAAGCTTTGAAATGGCAGGTTTAAAATTGTTTCCTTGTCTGAAATACCACACTCAACAGATAGTATTCCATGTTTTTGACAAAACAGGCTATCGCATTTCTTGACCTTAAATAACCACCCATAAAGAATTTTAAAGAGAAGATTGAATGCGGTCAATGTAATCCTTTAGCTATTGATCGCCCAAAGCGTTACTATGTTTTCTATTTCATATGGTAAAAAGATACTGGCAGCAAGTATTTTTTGTCAGTTAGCATTCTTTCCGCATTACATTCAAATCCTTGTAATAACTTTTTTGTTTCTCATTGCATTTTCGAAGGCTTTGGCGTAATGAAGGTCACAATATTATTATCATCAGTTATTTTAAGTTCAGGTCATTTCTCAAAATCTTTAGATAGATTTTTTTTAAAGTACTTGCAATTATTTCCATATTTTAAATCATCTGAAATCCAAATGTTAAAAGTTTAAAGATTCATATTTGGAAATAGTTCAGTGAATAAAAAATATATTTGTTTCTTCCAGGACCTGTTTACGGCCGCTTCTGCTCGACTGTATAGAGCAACAAAACATCATGTATTCTTTAAAGATATCACAATAGTAGTACCAAAGTCATTGCCGATAGACACCGATGGTTATATAAACGGACCCCAAATCGATTCTGCCCACGTAATTGTTGATAAAGCCAACCCACTCGCGAATAATAAGCCCTATGTCTCTGGCATGACCGGATGTGGAAAGCCTGGGAGACACATACATTTAGAACCGTATACGCTGGAATATCTCCCCGCTGTTGGAAATGCAGGTATATGAATGTTGTAAAGCATACAATATATATGTATCTTTAAGCAACATAAACATTGAATACATGTGAGATTCTTGCAAAAGGTTGGAAATTAAAGCTTCCACTTTTGATGACTTTAACGGTTTCCTTAATTAACTACCTTTCCACATTATAGACAGGTTATTCGTTCACCATTGGGGCCATTTTAGATGGGGTTTATTCGACGAACATGGTGATACAGAGTCTCCAGTCCAGGGATCAAATACAAATACCTGGTTTTATTCATCTGGAGGAACCTACAAACCAAATATGTAGAAATATACTTCCAATAGTCACTTGATGGTTCTGTACAAAAAAATAATGAACTCACATTCGTATTTATACTTCAAAACGATAAATCCTATCATAATGTACGTCATTTTAATTCAGGTGCCTTTGTTTTCTTTTGGATTCCTCTGTTTTATTATCTTATTCTAAGATTTTGCAATGAAAATATATGTACTCGATTTTATGTCTCAAGTACTTAAATTTCCCTTACAGCTGCGTTAAAAATACAAAAGGTAAAAGTGAACTGAATTATTGTGGGAGTAATATGAAGTGCTCTGTGGATGAAAATGGTCTACCTGAAAAGAACTGTAAATTTTGTGGAGACGAGACTGGAAACACTGTTAATGGATCAATAATGGGGAACATAGAAATATCCAGTGTAAGTGTTTATAATTTTGACAAAAAAGAGAACGATGCAAAACAAATCTCTTTAGTATATTACATCTGGTCACATTTAAAACGTATGTAGATTTTTTTTTATATGATATAGGTCTAGTGGTGTCGAACATATCTATAGAAAGCTTTATACCCAAACGAAATCTTTCGTACTTTCATATAATGGACATACAAACGTTAAATATGACATTTTTGCTGATTTTGCATATATTAAGAGGAATTTAAAAGATTGTGCTATACATATTTTGCATAATTTGGATCTGAGATTGATGAATTTCTAGTGCTACATCTTGGTAATCACGAGGTACTGACGTTCTATGCTAAACAAATTGGAAAACTCTCTAAAAACATTTCAGAATGAAAGATAAAACGATTTTTATTATTTTTAAAACTAATAATCGCAGATTCATTGCAATATTTCAAAAGGTGGAGGAGTTTTGTGATGAAGAAAATAGCACTGTTCCACACAACGAAGAAGCTGAAACACCGCAGAACAAAATATGTCAAGGAAAAAGTGCCTGGGAAATAATGAGACTTCATTCTGATTTTAAAGGTTTCTACTTCTGTACATATTTATAATTTATACTTACTTTCTAACCATAGGAAAATGAATGAACAGAAGCTCTTTTTTTCTTTTAAATTATCATCAAGTCCATCTTAAAAAAAATGTTTGGTTGCCTTCTCCCAACCGACTGGCTGAAAATGGCCCGACTCAAAACTTTTTTTAACCTCCAGGAAACAATTATTTTTTCATGCATTAAAGAATTTTTATTTGAAAATTGAGCATTAATATCGATATTTTTCTGGGGAAAAAAAATTCCTCCTATCTACGACCTAATTTTTTCATCCTGAGTCGGGAGAGGGCAAAGAACATTATTTTAAAGTTGGCCCAAACTACTAAGGAGGTACGAACATATTTTACTTATGTAAACTGGATAAGAGGGGCTCGTGAACCTCCTTGTCCTTTTCTAAAATTGGATGAAGAGGTTAACGTTTAAGCTAATAATCAGATAATGCGTGTGCTTGCAACTGGCATTGTTCTAGAATGTTGTCTATTTATTAACATTTACTTTATAATCTGGAAGTTTTATAATTAATAACAATATTTTTTTTAAAGAGCTTATAATGTAAGAAACAATTCATATTATATTTAATACATGTTTTCATGTTTCCTGGTAATACGTACATGTAACTGATATCTCAGATACGAAATACATGCAAACTTTATTTAATAACATATCTGAAATGAAACTTTGGAATAACGATAATATTCAACTTCAATAATATCACAATTATGTCTCTAAAACTTTTAAAACTGTATATACGTGTAGAACACATTTTGGAAAAGTTCATTAATTTTGTTTGTGTTTGTAGATACAACACCAGGTGCTCCATCACAAAACACAACACCAACATTTCGAATTGTGAAACAGAGGTCGGGTCAAAATTTTGTCTTGGTCTTAGACAAGTCCGGAAGTATGACCGGTGCAGTAAGTTTAAATTCAGTCCATTTCTCAAATTTTCCTGCATTGAAAATGTTTTTGGATTGTTTGATCGGCAATAGAAAAATACTGTAATATTAGGTATTATGTTAAATGAAAAGGGTAAAGATAAGGAACAGTGATCGATTTAAAAAAAATTTAAACAATGCAAATTTGTAAACAGGTATTAAAAACGGACCCCTGGGAAATCTAGAGGTGGGATAAGGTGCCTAGGAGTAGTAAACATCCCCTGTTGACCGGTCACACCCGCCGTGAGCCATATGTATCGATCAGGTAAATGGAATATTCTGTAGTTAAATTTAGTGTAAAATCAAAGGCTTAACATTAAGTATTAGATATGTCAGTCAAAACACGAACCAACGATAGGTAATATTTCCTAACAAGGTCATTGTAACAACCGCAGAGTTTACGAAATCCTGACTTTAAACCAGGTTGTTGAATTAACTGTAACATCAAATTGTATGTCAGTAGCCTGTCTCCTTTTAAAAATTAACCGCACTGGGAGCATGCTCTTGGGTATCGAATAAGTTGGGAGACATTAACACCATAGGCGGGATATTACTACAAAAATAAGGAAAATTGACGATGGAAAAGCTGAGGTCAAATTGTTTGTCATATAGTTTAGTTGTTAGTTAATTAGCCCTTATAGTCCATAGTCATCAAAATGACATCCTATATACTCCCTAAGTCAATAAAGAATGTGAGAAATAATCGGAAGATGATCTTTTATATAAAGATATGTTTCGAAGAGTATTGAGTGATTATACCTACAGGCTTTCTGACTGAATTTTATTGAATTCAGTTCTATAGGGTAGAAAAACAAATACCAATCAACCTAAGTGCCTTAACGGATAATTCAACAATAAACTTTAACTACTTATTTATTACATTAGATTTATAAAAGGCATAAATATATATTTCTGCTTAGCGTGGTACAACAATCTAAAGACAATCCGTATCAGTTGCTTTTGTTGGTATTGGCTTGAAAAACACCCAATATCTAAAGAGGTGTGTAAAATAAACAAAGATATATCCCAATTAACACTGGATCTTTGGAAGGGAGATCAATCTTTCATCAAACTTGGCCTTGATGAAGTTTTCTTCACCTGATCAACTGAAGCCGGTTCTTTACACTTTTTTGTTCGCACTACAATGATGTATGAAAGACTACTGATATCAGCGTTGAAAGATTCATCTACCAATCCTGCGGCAGACAAAAAATATACATTTACAAGCATGGCCTTTAAGAAAATGAATTTCTCTATAGTCTGAAAGCTGCTGTGGCATCTAGGCAGGTCTAGTCCTCGGCTGTACCCATGGCCAATGCGTTTATTCCACTATAGTCAGAGTTCTTCCATTTTCAATGCAGACACATGAAAATATCAACTAATAATACTCAAAATAAATGTTCTAGAATTTGTAAAAGTTTGAAAAATTTGCTAAATGTTAAAATTTTGTAATTTATGATATTCCCTTTCCGTTCCTGCTACCCAAAGCTTTATTTGCAAAAATGAATGTCTGAAAAATGAGCGATTGTGCTACCCGGTACATTTTGCAAAACTTAAAGAGGCATCTTAATTTTTACATGTATTAAATCAAGGATGTATCAAATCTGAATTATATAATTAAATAGCTGATTTTGGAAAACTTTAAGAGTAAGCAGAGGACAATTACAGTGATCTAGGTAGTCCATCTTAATTAAGCTTCCACTAGAATTTAAAAAAGATTTTAAATACTGTAAAGATTTAAAAATCATATCTGGCTATTGTATACTTTGTGCTTCTGAAGTTTGAAGTTTTGATTTGAAGTACGAATGCTTTTATATTTAATTTGTAAAAGATAGAAAAAAAAAACACAAAAAAATTTACGACACGTAATGATATTTCATGAAATACCAGTACATTTGTGTACTTAAATGTACGCTTAGGAAACGCAATATTGCTTTGTACGTTTTGCAAAATATTTCAAATGCAAAAAAAAAAAAGTCAAAGAGAAGTGAAAAAAACTTTGACTTTGCAGAAAATGAAGGAGTTGAAAGAGGTATCATCCATTTTTATCACAAATTGGTTAACGAATGGTAGTTCAGTAGGAGTGGTGGCTTTTGATACTACTGCACGTATTGTCTCCTCGCTCAAGCTTGTGACGTCAGATGAGGTGCGAAAAAGTTTGGTAAAATTGTTAGATCGTATTGGAGCAGGTGGAAGCACATCTATTGGGACTGGTCTAAGGAAAGGAATAGAGGTATAAAAGCCATAAGTTTTGCCAAAGAATTAATATTTTATCTTTGAAATAAACGCCATCAATACATATATTCTGAAATGTTCCTATTAGTTTCTGTTTAAAGTTTATCAAATTTTGACAACTCTCTGACTGAATGACAATGACACTGAATAAAATTTGTTATGCATAAGTGTTAACTATTTAAGAATGTACAAGGAAGTGATAACAAGGCCTCTTATCAGACTATGAGTCTGTTTACATCCGAAGAAGAATGGTTTGTATGATATAATAAACTTTAAAAAAAAACTGATTGTCTTGAATGATTTTTTGAATTAATCCATACTATTAATTCAATAACCGGAAAAGCTTTTATGTTATTACAGTACTAAGAAGTTAAGATATACTTTGGTGTATTTTGAGTAGCTTCCGTTTTTTTTTTTTAAATCAGGTTCTTAAAACAAGCGGTGAAAGTATAGAAGGAAACGAGATAATTCTAGTGTCGGATGGAGAAAATACTAATACACCAGGAATCAAAGATGTCAAAAATGAAATTTTAGCCGAGCACGTTTCTGTCACGACGGTTGCCATAGGTAAAGAGGCAGACAAAGATATGGAAAATCTAGCCAAGGAGAGTGGAGGCTCAAGTCATTTTTATTCCGGAAAAAATAATTCCACAGCTCTTATTGATAGTTTCATTAAGATTGCTGAATGTGCTTCTGATGACGATAATAAAATGTACCAGGTAAGTATAAACATAATTTTACAGGGCCCACCTCCCGCACAAGATGTGAGTTTCCCTTAGTTATCACCATCTTTATATCGCTCCGTCCGTCATTAGCTTTGTGTGAGACAATAACTTGAGTACCTTTTAACATGAAGTCTTCTTCTTCACTACATTGGTACGAGAGAAAACCTCTTTTATACTTACAACATACATTGGTTGTATGTGGAAGCTGGTAAGACGATTACAACTACTGGGTTTTTTATTCGGGGGGGGGGGGGGATCCATGCAGGTCTAAGGTATAGATTACTGACATGACCATTGTGATGCTTACAGATTTTATGTGTAATGAAAATGTGGAGAATAGTTAAAGAGAGATATAGAGGAATTTTCTGTTTATTACATTTTTTCTTCCCTTCGCATGTTAGTTAAAGCTAGGTATAGGCGTTTTTAAGCAAATGAGCTAATACAAACGCATAAGAGGTATATTTATTATTCAGAGAAAGTTTTGATTTATATTCTTATGCATACTTAGTACCTACGATATGTTATAGCCAGTACACATTATGACGTCATATTATGACGTCCTTGTTCTTACCTACTGGAGGTAATAAAACACAACAACAAAACAGCTTCGGCGCAAGGGATTACCCTATTTAATTTCACATAAAAATTGTATAATGCTAAGAAGAATATTCTATAGATTAATAAAACTACTGCAAAAATCCTAGGCATTTTCTCATTTGATCGGAAATTGAGGAAGCTTTTACCGGACTGTACATTTTTACCCTGATTCAACTTAAAACTTTACAAATAGAAAGTATACAAATGAGCTGTTGATATTTGTGCAGCAACACCAGCAATCTTTGGAATATTTTGCTTCTAAATATACCTTGTTTCAGTTAAATAAAATAGAGCATGCCCTTGCGCCGAAGCATTTTTGTTGATGACTATTATAATCTTGTGTAGTAAAAAAACAATGACGTCATAAAATGACGTCATAATGTGTACTGGCTACCTCATGTCGTGGGTACCAAGTATGAATTAGACAATACGTTTTAACTTTCTCTGTATAATAGATATAGTCCTTAGGCATTTTAATTAGTTTATTTGCATAGAACTGCCCTTACCTAGCCTTAACTCGCCTGCGTTTGCCTCTGTCTTTCTAATAACAGTGTCATAGGATGTGACGTCATAGCTAAGCAATTGTGAGATTGATAACTGTTACATTAGTTTTAGCAACGTATTTTGGAAGAAATTGGCTTTTCTTAGACTCTATCAAGATGGTTTAGTTACTATCTCTATCTTGTGACAGACCAGAAATTATATTTACTTACTTTGATATCAATTCACACTCTCACTGAATATCACTCTGGTATCCTTTCACACTGTGACAGAATACCACTTTTACTACATAAATAAATCACAGTATTTCACTGATTTCACTGTTGAAAATATAATAAATGTACCTATATATATATATATATATATATATATATATATATATATATATATATATATATATATATATATATATATATATATATATATATATATATATATATATATATATATATAGAGACAATTGTGATGTAATGAAGTTAGCAAGTTTAAGTAGCTTTGTTTTGGATGCTGGTTGAATTTAAGACCTCTCTTGAATAAACATCAAGGCTAAAATGTCAAGACTTGAATTTTGGTGATGCATAACAGTAACCCCGATACTCTGCAACGTAGAAAAGTCCTAAATACATGTAAATCAAAAGCATAAGCATATTGCAAGACTCCGTGTAACGTTTTCTGTTTACTAGTTAACCACTGTCTTCTGGTTATGGATTAAGATTAAAGTGTTAAATACTGACTTCGATATTTTCTCTTACAGATAGAGAGCAAAAGCTTAAGTGTTCTAAAAGGTCAGAACTACAGTACCGTTGTTTATGTTGACTCCACATTAGGACTCGATACAGTTTTATTGTTGCAAGGCCCTGATGTGAGCTATATTTCAGCTTCACTCATAGGACCCGGAAATAGGACTTGGACATCTGATACATGTACAGATTCATGCCGTATACAAATTAGTGGTCTAGCAGAGGTACATTTCTGATAATATTCATTGCATTCCATCTCAACTTTTTACAGTTTAGTTTACTAAAACATTGGTTAGATGCATGTCGCCTCCACTTGTCTTTTTGTCTGTAAGAGGGCTATTCTGAAATTATTGACGCATTGTGGTTATTCTTCTTTCTAATGAACCCTTTTGTTGAAAATTGGAATATGAACGTTTGACAAACACTAAGAATCAATAAAAGCAAATCATTGGTATCAATGGTATCAATGGTAATGGATACCCGGCGCAATCACTAAATCAGATATTTTAAAATAGGTAACACCTACGTTATAACTCCCGTGGATCCATAGTAAGACCGAAAATAAATCAAATTATTTATATATTTTTTTCGTTTTTATTTTGACTTTATTGTGTGTAAGTTTGTTAGATTTTCAAACAGAAATAAGGAGATCATAAAAAATTTAAGCATGGTATAGAAATTTGATTACGAAAACAAAATGGATTTTGACGTCAAGGCCTCGCAGCGAGCATACATAAAATTTAGTGTAGCGCTGTGGAGAACCCTTGTCCAGACTAAGCAGTAACAATGCGACAAGACATGTCTAAGGGTTTGTTTTTTCATTGGTATATTTTTTCTTACAAATCATTCATTTCGGTAGAAATTTTGCACGAGCGTTGCAAACCGATATGGTTGTTTTCTGTTTTTTTCTTCTTATCTGAAAATTATCAATTTTTCCAATTTCGGGTTTGTTGACTTAAAGTGAAAGTGCTGATATCCTTGTTTCATCATCTTGTTTGTCAATAGCTTACCTCATTCTATAAATTATTTAACATATATGCTTCTGCGTATCAAATCATGTTAGAAATATACTCCATATTCAGGTGTTGAGTATATTATAAAGAATGCATATGTCATTGACTATTAACAATTTTCATGAAAATTCATTCCAGTAGATTAAAGTTATGTATGTTAATAATAAGTAGAAACATTTATAACTACAAGCGCATGCTTATCTGTTTAACTTCTTTTCAACTTAATTTATACCATTTAGTGAGTAACACCTGATAAACATATGCTGACCACGTATTAAGTCAGTAACACTCAATAAATCTTAATAAACCCCTTCCGATGAAAATGGATTCTCACTTTGCAAACTTTTAACTTATCTCATTTCGTAAAATTATCCCTCTCAACTAAAGAAAAATATTCGTTTGAAAGTTTACTTTTTGCACATTTCGAATTTTGATAAGTGCAGTCAACCTCTCGCCAGAAAAGCAAGCTGTACACTATTTCAGCTTATTATTCATACAATATACAAATCTAAAGTAAGAATAATTTGATACTGATTATATGTATATGGAAATAAACTTTCAGGAAGCATGTAAGATTAAAACTGGAATGAGAATATAATACATTCTGTTGAGAACAATGTAAATGTTTAGAAATTTGACTAGTATTGGATGAGATTCGTATGATATACAATGAGTTGTTTTATGTAGTAATAAGCAACAACAACAATAAATAAATAAACAAATAAAAAAGATATCATATTATTCATACATCCGATATATCTATTCGGGAATATAAATTTCTCAAACTTGTCCTTTTTCATGAATATTGAAGGTGGGTACTTACACCGTGCAGATTTCTTCAATCGCCGATATGGACATGATTTTAACATTAATAGTGCACTCATTTCCAAGAGATCCCTCGGAGGAAGTATTCACTGCGACTGCGTGGATATCTACAGAATCGTTTGATTTTTCGCCCTCTACCCCTATTGTCCTCTATGCTTTAGTTATGAAAGGATCGTCTCCAGTGCTGGATGCTCACGTTTCAATGAACATCGAAGATTCTGAAGGCGAAATAATACCAGTGAATCTTTTAGATAATGGTCTAGGTAAGTATTTGTGTTCTTCAATAAGAACCCCATTGACGCATTCAAAACGAGAGAAAAACCCTGATATGGCAATGGCATTGATAAACATTATTCTAGAAGCATAATAGATGTTTAAAATGCATTATATATCTCTTGAAATGCTTTTTTCCCCCTCGCTTTTACATAATTTACTTTACAATAATTTTAATTATGGCTCATCTCTGTCAATCTCTTAGTGTCTGTTTTGCAGAAATCAATAGCGTGAAATTTACTATCATTCACATCCACTAAGTTTTTCAAAATAAAAGTAAAAATTAAAAAAAAACAAAAAAACACCAGAATATTAATCATTATTCACATTGTAGCAATAACAATATGAAAAATGATTAAGTTTTGGTAAATTCTGTTATCACACATCGAAAGAACTACCATATAGGAATTATTACTACTTATGGACAGAATTCACGTCTTTGTTGTATAAGACAAGCATGTTGCTACGGGTCATTTGATGTGAACGTCTAGAGGAGAGGGGACAGGGTTTTGTTCTGTTTCTGTATTTAAGCGCTCTTAATTTTTCATTTAAGTAATGCTGCAATGGCCTAAGTATACAAAAGTAAGGAGCTATACAGGTGAAGGAAAGGGATCCTTTTTCATACAAGAGCTTATATTTTCTCATCGTTTTCTTTAAACATAGATGCAAATAAAATAAAAATGACAAATATCTGTTTATAAAATTAAATCTAAAATCTGATATTTGCTGAAATATAATTTCCTTTAGGTGAAGATATAATTAAAGGAGATGGACTCTACACAGGCGTGATGTTACCATCTCAAATAAAAGTAGGCGGCAGACACAGTCTTAAGCTCATAGTAACAGGAAAAAGTGGCGAAACAAAAATTCTTGTACCAAAAGTTAAAAGACGAAAAAGAGAAACACAGACTGAAGACAGTAAGGGGAATACTAATTTTGTTCTGTACATCTTATATTCATATATTTTATTCAAATTTTCTTTGCGGTGCTGGGATTTTTGGTAAATCTTTGAAGTTTGATAAATGGTTGTTCATAATCATGTAGGTATAACCACTTTAAAGGTTGTATTCAATAGAAGAAATCAGACAGTTCAGTACTTACCAATAGAAATATCAATTTGATGTAACTTACATGTACGTTTTCAGCAGCCATAAATTTGGAAACAAAAACAGTAGATGAATTTCAACGTGTAGAATCCAGTGGCTCATTCACTGTATATAATTATAGCCAAGTGAATATTACTAATGACATCATATCACCGGCGCGCATAACAACACTCCAAGTGATGAACAGAAATGACATCTCTTTTAATGTAAGCTGGAATGCTGTCGGAGATGACGTCATCTATGGCAAAGGTACAGAAACTTTAGTGTTTCATGTCTAACAAGTACATCATTTTTCTTTCAAATTTTGTAATATTTGTTACAATACATATATTGGAGGGGGAAATTAAATCACCTCCAAAACATCTAATCAGTATGTTTGTAATGTATTTTTATTTATTTTTTTGTAACAGCTTTGCTTTATAACATTTTATTGTCAAAGAACCTTTCAACTTTACGGAACTCTCCAGAAACGGTTGATCCATTAACCGAAAACATACCCACACCCTCTGATCCAGGGAGCTTGGAAGTATTTTCTTTGGAGATACCGGAAGTTAATGCAAACTACTATTTAGCAGTCCGTGCCGTCGATGAAGCAGGAAACAAAGGCGCTATTTCGAACATTCTTTCTTTGTCCGTGATTACTGACAGCACTTGGGAAAGCGAGATACATGTACATGTACTACAATCATCATCTTCATCCAGCAATATTCTGATAATCGCTATATGCGCGGCAGCATTACTTTTGATAATCATACTTGTGGTTGGATGCATTATTTATAACAAAAGAAAGTTGCCTGGAAAAGGCGCAGGCGTCGTCTAGTAGCCGAGAAAATGCATTTTCTGATAGGGCGTAATTGTAGATGGAACTCTTGTTGATAATTGACAACACCAAATTAGCTCAAGTGAACCTAATAACCTGATGTAATACATATACATTTAAACAATATGTGCTCATTGATACAAAAATTGCAATGACAATGTTTTGAAAAATGTTAGTACAAAAACAGATGGTAGTGAATAAGTCCAATTTAAGTGACAGTATAAATAGTTGTATAATAATCATGTTTAATTATGTACAAAAAACCTCTTGTTAATGAAAAGAAAAGACTAACAAATGAGATTTGTGGTCTCTGTAAAGAGTAAGTATATGTATTCCCTAAAACAATAAGAGGCGACATAGATAAAACTAATTAACAGTCATCTTTATAAAATAGTGCATTATTCATGGGAGCACATGTTTTATTGATTGTGAATAGCATTTTTATATTCTGTGCATATTTTCACTCGTTATAAACACCGATTAATTAACATTACTTTCAATTGTAGGAAAAGCAATGTTGACTGAATACATTCCTGCTGGCTAATATCCGAGTTTCAATTATTTTTCATTCTGACAATTTCGAATTTTAATTTTTTTTTTATTTGGAAACCAAAGAGAAGACACCCGAGCTATTTTACCCAGTATCTTTGTTTGACATTTAATTTTCTTCTTTTCTGTCGGTTATTTCTTCAAATTTTCCAGTATGTTGGCTATAGAGCAAAAAAAAAAAAAAAAAAAAAAAAAAAAAACTCTCTGTGGTTAACATTGCTGACAAATTTCTTCTATTCTAAATTCTTTTTTAGCTCTTTTTATCTGGTAACGAGGTAAGCGAGACAGATCGTCTTGCCAAGTTACCAGAGCAAAATTACTTCATGACTTTTGGAACTTTCGATCACCCAAAAAACTCCCATTCCTATATAGGAATGGAATTTACGTTTTCCGTCAAAAAAAAAAAAAACAACTGTAAATTGTAATTATTACACCCATTTAGAGACATTTGAAAGCTCCGTTGTCTTCTCTTTTCAAAATTATGTAAGCATTTTGTGGAAACGTTGAATCTTTAAATCACTAAATTGCATTGCAAAAATTGAGCATTTGTTATTATTTATTTTTTACTTTCGCAAACTCGGAAGTTTTTAATGGGTCCGTGATGAGGAGAAGAGAGAGTCATCAGGTGTTATGGTAGATTCACGTTGTCTGTTGTCTGATTGTAGACATTACTTGACTGGATGTTAGATCGAAATCTATTCAATAAATTCAGAGTCCTATTAATTCTAACGGGATAGGCAACTCTTGAAAGTCTCTTGATATCTCGCAAGAGTCTGAATTTCATGTATGTCAATTTTAATTAAATAAATCATATATTAAATATAATTTAATGTTATTAAATATTATAAACAAAACCTTTATCAATAAAAGAAAATTCAATATATATATGTCATTTTCAAAAACAACACATGCCCCTCCGTATTTCCGAGATTTTGCCTAATTTTGGTTGCGTTTTACATATAGCGAGCGGCTCGAAACTTAAAACAGCATTTTGGAGAAGAGAAAGTATTGATCCAAGATAAATTTTATACCCTGTCCGTCCGTTTGTCTGTCTAGCTATCTGTTTGTTTGCAAAAACTTTAACATTGTCCATACCTTTTGATTGGTTGGAGTTATGGCTCTTTTATTCCACCTGTGTGATCCTTGTGACAAGGCTTGAATACAAACATATTTGACCTCTTGACCTTGGAATTTGACCCAATTTTGCAAGAATTTACCCAACTTTAACCTTAGCAATAACTTTTAAACAGTTGGTGCTACATGTAGGACTTTCATACTTTACAAATGTATTCAATGTGATAAGACCTGTCCATGGCTATAATATTTTTTATACCTTTAAACCTTGGCCTTTGAGTTTGACCCACTTTTAAAAACTTTAACAGTGGACATAACTTTTGAGCAGTTAGCACTAGGGCCTTCATATTTCACAAGTGTATTTGTGACAGGGGTCTTGTATAGATCTGGTAGTTGTAGATAGAAATAATAATCAAGACAGCTGCGGGTTCGTAGTTTGTAATTAATTGGTATACGAGGGGTGATCAAAAAGTTCTCAAACTATCTCTATATTTACAAAACCACTATTCAGATCAGAATGAAATTTGGCACACAAATAGTAATAAACATGTTCTATAAATAGCAGATGTTTACATAATGTTTGCCACATGTTTGTGACGTCACAATGTGAAAATGACGTCAATATGTTGGTGACTTGTAATAAAAATGGCTGACTCAATCGCACTCGAGGAACGAAAGGCTATAAAGTTTAACGTATATCTTGAAAATTCTTTTGTAGTAGCATATAATAAATTGTACAAGGTTTATGAAGACAAAAGACTTGCAGAAGTTCAATCATTAATTAGATTGATTGTTTTAGTGAAGGAAGGAAGATGGTTAAAAATGATGTTTGGTCTGGTGCCCAGTGAAGGTAAGCTGGGGAAGAGATGTGTCCTTAGTTGTGCATTTTGTTACGAAAGATCGGCAAGTTACAGTTTGAAATATAGTTGAGTATTTTAAGAATATTACAGTCATTAAATTCCACAAGTACCGTTTAATTTAGACTTTAAACATATCAGAAGTGATAAAAAGAAGGCACCCATACTTTATCCACAATGGAAAAACGACGAATCCAAGACAGAGATGTCGGGTTGTGATGGTCACCATGCTCATTCTGGGAAAAGATATCCTTACCATTCCATTCTATTGCCCAGATTTGGCCATTTATGATAAATGGACAATTCATGTTTTAAAAAATTACATGCATGGTAAGAAATATAAGACTCGGAAAAATCATTTAGCTTCTGTGAACAGAGCGCTAAGGAGCATGTTACGTGACCGCCTGGATCACGTGATTCGTGCATGGGCAGAACGGTGGCAGATGTGCATTAAAATTGGAGAGGACTACTTTAAAAAATAATAAACACCTAAATCTAATTTTATTTCTTTTATGGAAGTTATTCAATTAGTTCGCGAACTTTTTTATAACCCCTCGTATAATATAAATATCTGAAATTTAATCACTCTGTAAATATACATATAAATGGTACAATTTAATAAAAAAAAAAAGGATGACAATTCTTTAAACATACAATACAATATACTACAAAATCACAATACATTGATTTCTTACTATGCATAATTTGGAAGAGTTATTCCCTTTTTCGCAACGGAAAGAAAAATTTGATGTCAAATTTTTCACTAAGCAGACTGAGGTACATATATAACTCAAACATAGGAAGCAGTATTCTTTATTTAATACATGTAGTTTATATATATATTAAAGTTATTGAACAAATTCATGAAACTTGCAATCGTCAATAAAATACACACGAATTAGATTCGCATCCTAATTATCTATCATAATGCCTCCATCCAAATCTAAAGGGGAGTTTTGATAAGGCCGCTTAGCGGCCCACTTTTTTCCTAAAAATAAATTTCAATTAATTTTTTCATAATTAGTTTAGAATTCAAGATAAATGTGTTATCTTTTGTTACTTATATTTCAAAAGATAATATGAGATAAATTCACACCCTAGCTGATGCATACTAAGATGTTACCCTCACATGAGTTAACATTAGGCCTATAGGAAAATATAAGAGGGTGGCATTTATAAATCAATCTTTAAAATATGAAGTGTATGAAGGACACTCACCTAATGCTCAGTAATTAGATAAACCTGTCCACTAATATCTTGAAATGTGATGAGTGTCGCGTGTGCACTTCATATCCAAAAATTGAGAATTGCATAAAATTTGCATACCTAAAATTAGACATTCCTGGTTTCTTGATATGACTCTGTGTTAAAATACTAAGCCAAAAGTAGCATTAATTTGTAACTTAGAGATGATTCTCAAAAAGAAATTTCTATTTCTATTTCAAAATAGAAATCATTATCGTTTCCTATCTTCATTTCGATACTTTTTTCCGATTTAACGTTAACGTCACA